GCCATTTTGGCCAGGCTAGTCTTGAACTCCTGGCTTCAAGTGATCCTTCTGCCTTGGCCTCCCAAAGTGCTGGCATTATAGGCATGAGCCACTGCACCTGGCCAATTTCCATTATATATTGTTGAAAAGGCAAAAGGCAGCATTTACTGTATGAATCCCATTTATATAAGATTGTATGCATATATATATATTTATTATTATTATAATTATTTGAGGCAAAGTCTTGCCCTATTGCCCAGGCTGGAGGGCAGTGGCACAATCTCAGCTCACTGCAACCTCTGCCTCGTGGGTTCAAGCAATTCTGCCTCAGCCTTCCGAGTGGCTGGGATTACAGGCAGCCACCACACCTGGCTAATTTTTGTATTTTTAGTAGAGACGGGGTTTCACCGTGTTGGCCAGGCTGGTCTTGAACTCCTGACTTCAGGTGATCCACCTGCCTTAGCCTTCCAAAGTGCTGGGATTACAGGCTTGAGCCACCAAATATACATTGTATCTGTAGGTATATTTATGCATGTTTTAGGATATCCTTCCTTCCTTCCTTCCTTCCTTCCTTCTTCCTTCCTTCCTTCCTTCCTTCTTTCCTCCCTCCCTCCCTCCATATTTTTTCCTTCCTTCCTCCCTCTCTCCTTTCCTTCCTTCCTTCCTTCCTTTTAGAGTCAGGGTCTCACTCTGTCACTCAGGCTGGAGTGCAGTGGCATGATCATAGCTCATTGCAAGCTCGAAATCCTGGCTTCAAGTGATTCTCCCACCTTGGCCTCCAGAGTAGCATAGAACTGCAGGTGCATACCACCATGCCCAGTTAATTTTTTTTTTTTTTTTTTTTTTTGTAGAGAAGGGTCTTCCCATGTTGCCCAGGTCTCAAACTCCTGGTCTCAAGCAATCCTGTGGCCTCAGCCTCCCAAAGTGCTGGTATTACAGGTGTGAGCCACTGCGTCTGGTCCTTTCTTTTTTAAATCAACTTTTTTTTGTTTGTTTGAGACAGAGTTTCACTCTTGTTGCCCAGGCTGGAGAGCAGTGGCGCGATCTCAGCTCACTGAAACCTCTGCCTCTCAGGTTCAAGCGATTATCCTGCCTCAGCCTCCCGAGTAGCTGGGATTACAGGCATGTGCCACAATGCCAGGCTAATTTTGTATTTGTAGTAGAGATGGGGTTTCTCTATGTTGGTTAGGCTGGTCTTGAACTCCTGACCTCAGGTGATCCGCCCACCTTGGCCTCCCAAAGTGTTGGGATTACAGGCGTGAGGCACTGCACCCAGCAATCAACCTTTTAATTTTAGAATAATTTTAGATTGCAGAAAAGTTGCTGAGATAGTGGAGAGTTCCCATGTGACCTTTACCCAATTTTGTTAACATCTTACATTAACCATGATACACTTGTGAGAATTAAGAAATTAACATTGAGGTATTACTGTTAACTAAACTACAGACATTATTCAGATTTTACCAGTTTTCCCACTAATGTGCTTTTCTGTTACAAGATTCTATCCAGGATACCATATTGCATTGAGTTGTTATGTCTCCTTAGTCTCTTCTGATCTGTAACAGTTTCTGAGTCCTTTCTTGCTTTTCCTAACCTTGACAGCTTTGAAGAGTACTGGTCAGGTATTTTGTAGAAGGCTCTTTAATTCGGTTTCTCTGATGCTTTCCCCATGATTAGAGTAGGGTTGTGGGTTTTTGAAAAGGATATTACAGGGGTAAAGTGTCCTCATCACATCATTTCGTGTGGGGGTGTCCATGATATTAACACGACATTGCAGGTGATGTTCACCTTGATCACTTGGTCAATGCATTGTCTGCCAAGTTTCTCCACTGTAAAGTTATTAATTTCCCCTTTCCATACTGTGTTCTTTTTTTTTTTTCTTCTGAGACGGAGTCTTGCTTTGTCGCCCAGGCTACAGTGCAGTGGCACTCGGCTCACCGCAACCTCCACCTCCTGGGTTCAAGTGATTCTCCTGCCTCAGCCTCCTGAGTAGCTGGGATTACAGGTGCATGACACCATGCCTGGCTAATTTTTAGGAGAGACAGCATTTCACCATGTTGGTCAGGCTGGTCTCGAACTCCTGACCTCGTGATCCATCTGCCTCGGCCTCCCAAAGTGCTAGGATTACAGGCGTGAGCCACTGTGCCTGGCCTCCATACTGTATTCTTTGGAAGCAAGTTAGTAAGTCCAGCCCACACTAAGGTGGAGAGGAATTAATCTTCACTTCCTAGTGAAGGTTTTATATATATGCATATATATATAAAAGTTGGCATCTTCTGTAAGGAAGATTTGTTCCTTCTCTATTTATGTATTTATTCTATTATTTATTTATATTAGTATGAACATATGTATACTTAGTTGATACTTTTGGTTATAATCTAGTACTGTTATTTTGCTGCTCAAATATTTCCAGCTTTGGCCATTGGGAGCTCTTTCAGGTTGGCTTCTCTGTTCCTTGAACTGTTTTTATTCTCTCTCTGTCTCTTTTTTTTTTTTTTTGCCACTTTCTATATTTTGGTATATTGCTTTAATTTTCTGCATTAGCATGATTAGAAAATCTTAATGATTAGAACATTAGAGGAACATAGAGACATAGATGGTTATTTTCACCTTAATATTGTGGAAAAATGACTTGGCAACTACTTTGATGGTTTACCAACTGATTTCTGGTTGTTTCTCAACTACCTTGCAAGGCAAGTAAGACAGCAAAGAATTACTTCTCACAGAAATTAAACTTCAGTAGATATCTGAGAGCGGTAGGTAAAATGATAGCGATTGGAATAAACTTCAATAGTTTTCAAGTGTTGTTAGGCTCAGTTAAAAAAAATTTCCAGGCCCAGTGCAGTGGCTCACACTTGGAATTCTAGCACTTTGGGAGGCCGAGGCGGGCGGATCACTTGAGGTCAGGAGTTCAAAACTGGGCAGGCCAATTGTACTAAAAATACAAAAAAATTAGCCGGGCATGGTGGCAGACACCTGTAATCCCAGCTACCTGGAAGCTGAGGCAGGAGAACCGCTTGAACGTGGGAGGCGGAGGCTGCAGTGGGCTGAGATCGTGCCATTCAACCTGTGCCACAGAGTGAGATCCTATCTCAAAAAAAGAAAAAAAAAATGTCCAGGAGAGAAGTTTGCATTAAATCATTCAGTAACACCGATTGCACACCTTTGTAGTAGGCATTGGGAAGGTGGGGGAAAAAAAGAGGGTGGTAGGTTGGGGTGGGGGCATGAGTTAGGAGGTAAGATGATGGCAAGTATGCTTTTGAGTAATGAACTTCTGTACAATACCAATTACCTAGGGGAGTGGTAGATCTTAAAGACAAAGATTAATTGATTGATTTTGTTTTCTTCTCAAATTCCTTTTACCAAAAGACACAGATAATAAAACAATATTTATATTTGAGAGGTGGTGATGGTTGTGGTCAAAAGGACCAGCTGAAAGACATAATGTCCAAGCAAGGTGAGGGAAAGCTCTGGGGGCAGGCTGTAATAACCGTAACAGCAAACACTTACTATGAATCAGGCACTATTTATCAACAGTTTATCAACCCATTAAAAGCTTATTACAGCCGGGCGCAGCAGCTCATGCCTGTAATCCCAGCACTTTAGGAGGCTGAGGTGGGCAGTCACCTGAGGCCAGGAGTTCCAGACCAGCCTGGCCAACATGGTGAATTAGCAGGGTGTGGTGGTGTGCGCCTGTAATCTCAGCCAAGCAAGAGGCTGAGGGGGGAGAATCACTTGAACCCAGGAGGCGGAGGTTGGTTGCAATGAGCCGAGATCGCGCCATTGAGCTTCAGCTTGGGCGACACAGTGAGACTGTCTTAAAAAAATAAAAAACAGTCTGGGAGCGGGGGCTCACGCCTGTAATCCCAGCACTTTGGGAGGCCGATGTGGGCGGATCACCTGAGATAGGGAGTTCGAGACCAGCCTGACCAACATGGAGAAACTCCGTATTTACTAAAAACACAAAATTAGCCAGACGTGGTGGCGCATGCCTGTAATCCCAGCTACTCGGGAGGCTGAGGCAGGACAATTGCTTGAACGCAGGAGGCAGAGGTTGCGGTGAGCTGAGATCGCGCCATTGCACTCCAGCTTGGGCAACAAGAGAGAAACTCCGTCTCAAAAACAAAAAGAAACAAAAACAAAACAAAAACCGTATTACAATCCTGTGAACTAGCTATTGTCATTACTATAATGTAGATGAACAAACTGGGACATGGACAGTTGACAAGACATCCCAACCACACACTAGAAATGAGCTGGGATAGGAAATCAGACACTCTGACTCTATTACTCCAAATGCCATACATACAAGCTGACTTCCGAAAAAAGAGAAAGTACTGTTCGCACAATACTAACTGGTTCTACGGCCACTGTTTCCTTGCATTTCTTTTTTCCTTCTTGTTAGGAACACGTATCTTTGAAGGAGGTATCATTTCTCCCACAGTTCTCCATTTAACGTTTCCTCGAGTGCAAGCACCACCGAGGCCACACACAGCCCCAGAGTAGAAGTAATTTGCTTCCTAGAAACCCTCATTGTATCCAGATTCCCTCCCAGAGGAGCCATCAGTTCTCATGGGTGGCACTTTTTTCTCCAGCTGATTACACTTTTTTCCTGTATCAGTTAATTTTTCCAACTTCTAATTGAATAAAGGCAGTTTTCTTAAAAAAAAAAAAAAGGGAAAAACGGAAAGGAAGGAAGAGGAAAGAAAGGAAGGAAGAAATGAAGGAAGTAAGGAAAGAAACGAGAGGGACAGAAAGAGAAAAAGGAAAGAGAGAAAGAAAGGAAAGGAAAACAAGAAATGGAAGGGACCTGCAGAAACGATTCACCACGCGCGGCTGACCCTGGGAGGAGCCACAGGTAGAACGAGCGCCTCCCAGGCTGGACGCCCGCTGCGGACACCGCAGACAGTCCCACCCCGGGCGGCTACAGCGACTCTTCTGAATTCCGGAAAGAACCTTTTCCAGCGGGACCGGAAGCCCGGCGGGGACCGTAGCGGGGACGGACTGACCTACCGACCATTCTTCCGGGTGCGGAAGGTGATCTCCACCCATGCTCAGAATCCAGGGGCCCGGGACAGTAGGTAGGAGTTAAGTGGGTAGGGTCCCTTAACCAGGGTTGTCCGGTGTGGGTGGTGTGTGTTGTTTCGCCTAACGTGTCAGTGGCACAAATCACGCGAACTCATAAACATTGTGCGTTCGGAAAGCTTTTCAAGATGCATTTAATCCCTGCGTAAGCCCACGTTAAGCATTCACGAAGGCATGTGTTCTGTTCTCTCGGAAGCGGCCGGCAGGCTTCCCCTCCTCGGGCGCCGCTGCGGGCGCAGGTCCGCAAGTCCCAGCCTCCCATGGGCCCAAGGCCTTCTGGGCTGCAATTTGAGGCGAAGCCACCCCAGTTTCGTAATTTTTCTGCAGTGATTTATTTTTACCTTTCAGGTAAGTTCGAACGCTTCCAGCTCACTTTCAGACATTTCCACTAACGTAACTACGTATTTGCAACATACTTTTTTCAGATTCCTTGACAAGAATATCCTAGTGACCAAACACCACCTTACTGGGAGTCAGAACGTCTGGGTTCTAGTCTTGACTGCCATTAACTAGCGGTATGACACTGGAGACGCCTTTTTGACCCCTATGGATTTACGTTTCCTTTTCTGTAAAGTGAGGAGCTTGGAATAAGTGACAAATTTTCTTCCAGTTTTGACATTTGGGTTATTGCCTCCAATATGTCTTTCCAGTTTCTGCCTCAATTACATATCTGTGCTTTGGTTAATATCTTGTAGTGTCCTTTCTCCCATTCCCTTAATCTGTGCTCTTCTCAAATCTGGTTTCATACTCGTTTAAAAATTATTTTCTCAAGGAATCCTGTGTTTCCCGAGCACTCTACTTTTGGTCCAGGGGCACAACCGTAAGTATGTGCCATTCTTAAAAGTATTTAATGTGTGTAAATACTATTGAATGAATTTCCAAATTTTTTTTTTTTCCTTTGGACAGAGTCTCGCTCTGTCGCCCAGGCTGGAGTGCAGTGGCGCGATCTTGGCTCACTGCAATCTGCCTCCTGGGTTCAAGCGATTCTCCTGCCTCAGTCTCCCAAGTCGCTGAGATTACAGGCGCCCACCACCACGCCTGGCTAATTTTTGTACTTTTAGTAGAGATGGGGTTTCACCACATTGGCCAGGCTCTTGAACTCATGACCTCAGGTGATCCGCCCGCCTCGGCCTCCCAAAGTGCTAGGATTACAGGCATGAGCCACCACGCCCGGCCTGAATTTCTAAATCTTAATGTGTTTATTTCGTTGGCATTAAGTCAGATTTTTCCTTGATCTTTACTTGAGTAAGCCTTTTAAGGTAAAATGCTTGCTCGATTACACACACATACATAACCTCTTAATTGTCAGAAGGTAAACAAGTTAATGACTTGTGAATATTTTTAACTTATAAGCAATGAATCCTCAAAGCTTATAAACCAATACTGAAACGTGTGATACGGTTTTAAAATAGCTAATGATAAAGTCTTTACATCATCCCATTTTCTCCTCATAGTCTTGTAATAGGAAGGACAGATATTCAAACACTTATTTATTTATTTATTAACAGAGATCCAGAAAATGAGGCCCATAGGAAACAAGTGACTTGCTGAGTCCAGATAACACTTACTATCAGAGTGAGTGTCCAGCTAAGTTTCCTTTGTTGCCCAATAAGATAATTTCTTCACTATACTGTGCTTGTTTCAGTTACCATTTATTTTCTTTCTTTTAAAAAGTATTCAATATAGGCCAGGCGCGGTG